GATTTGAACGGTTTTGAGCGGTTTATCTGAAAAAACCGCTCAAAAACCGCGCAAGATGTGATCGGTTTTTGAGCGGTTTATCTAGAAAAATCTCTCAAAAATTGCTCAAATCTTGCGCGGTTTTTTAGCGGTTTTTTTAGATCAATCGCTCAAAAATCGTTCAAATATTGCGCGGTTTTTGAGTGGTTTCTTTAGATAAATCGCTCAAAACCGATCAAATCTTGCGCGGTTTTTGAGCGTTTTTTTTTTAGATAAACCGCTCAAAAACCGTTCAAATCTTGCGCGGTTTTTGAGTGCTTTTTTTTAGATAAACTGTTCAAAAACCGATCAAACCGCTCATTTAGAAGCAAGATTTTGAGCGTAAGATTTTGAGCGTAAAAACCGCGCAAGATTTAAAAAAACCGCTCAAATCGCTCAAACCTTGAGAAGTATTTTGAGCGTTTTTTTCTATATTTATAAAAAAAATCGTTCATATATATATACAAAGATACGTACATACATCTATACACACATACATACATACATACATACATACATACATACATACATACATACATTTACACATACATACCTACATACATACATACATACATACATACATACATACATACATACATAGATAGATACAAACATACTTACATTTAAACATGCATTCATAATACATAAATACATACATCAAAACATACATACTTACATACATGCATACATACATACGTACATATTCTTACATTTTTTCCAGTGGTTATATTGCTCGAGCATTTGAAAAAATTTGCTCACATTGTTTGGTTCAAGACATCGAAATCGAAAAAAATCTTGCTTGAGTTGAGAACGGTTAAGCACTTTTTTTAAATTGTAGATACCCAGGTTGACCAAAAATGCTTATCCTACAGTTTCCATTTATGAAAAAACGCTTATCCTACAATTTCCTACAGTTTCATAGACTCAGAAAATTGTTTAAACGATTTTTTCATATATGGAAACTGTAGGATAAATTTTTTTTCATAAATGGACATTGTAGAATAAACATTTTTTCATATATGGAAATTGTATAATAACCGTTTTTTTAGCTTCAAACTAAATATTCGTTTTTGATGAGCAATATGCTTCAAATTGAGCAAAATTACTCTTAAATAATTTAGATTTGTTTATAAACAAGTTTTAACAAGTTTTTGAAAATCTTGCTTTTCTTGAAAAAATGGTTATCATACACTTTTCTTATATGGAAATTGTAGGATAACTATTTTTTCCAAAAAAATAAACGTAGTTATTTTTCATTACTTGACTGTTTTATTTGGTTCAAATAGCCGGAGAAACTATTTTGAATCTTTTTTCAATGGTTTTTGAAATTGTATGAAAATTGTATGATTAGCATATTTCCAAACATTTGATGTAGGAAATTGTAAGATAAGCATTTTCGAGATTTTTTAGTAAATTTGAAGCAAGATTTGAGCGTTTTGAGCGTTTTTTTAGACAATTACGCTCAAAATCTTGCATCAAAATGAGAGGTTTGAGCGGCTTTTGAACGGTTTATCTAGAAAAAAACCGCTCAAAAACCGTGCAAGATTTGAACGGTTTTGAGCGGTTTATCTGAAAAAACCGCTCAAAAACCGCGCAAGATGTGATCGGTTTTTGAGCGGTTTATCTAGAAAAGAATCTCAAAAATTGCTCAAATCTTGCGCGGTTTTTTAGCGGTTTTTTTAGATCAATCGCTCAAAAATCGTTCAAATATTGCGCGGTTTTTGAGTGGTTTCTTTAGATAAATCGCTCAAAACCGATCAAATCTTGCGCGGTTTTTGAGCGGTTTTTTTTAGATAGACCGTACAAAAACTGCTCAAATCGCTCATTTGGAAGCAAGACTTTGAGCGTAATTGTCTAGAAAAACCACTCAAACAGCTCAAATCTTGAGCGGTTTTTTGAGCGTTTTTTTTATATTAAAAAAATAGCACATAGATATATACAAAGATGCGTACATACATCTATACACACATACATACATACATACATAGATACAAACATACTTACATTTAAACATACATACATACATACATACATACATACATACATACATACATACATACATACATACAAACATACATACATACATACATACATACATTTACTTACATATTTTCCATTAATTATTTTGCTGGGGCATTTGAAAAAGTCGCTGACATTGTTTTTGTTCAAGACATCGAAAAAAAATCTTGCTTGAGTTGAGAACGGTTAAGCACTTTTTTTAAATTGTAGATACCCCGGTTGACCAAAAATGCTTATCCTACAATTTCCATATATGAAAAAAAAATGCTTATCCTACAATTTCCTACAGTTTCATAGACTCAGAAAATTGTAAAAAAAACTCTAGGATAAGCATTTTTTCATAAATGGAAATTGTAGGATAAACTTTTTTTCATATATGGAAATTGTAGGATAAACCTTTTTTCATATATGGAAATTGTATGATAACCATGTTATTAGCTTCAAACTAAATTTTCGTTTTTGATGAGCAATGTGCTTTAAATTGAGCAAAAGTACTCTTAAATAAATTAGATTTGGTTATAAACAAGTTTTAACAAGTTTCTGAAAATCTTGCCTTTCATGAAAAAAGGGTTATCGTACAATTTTCAATTTTGGAAATTGTAGGATAACAATTTTTTTCCAAAAAAATAAACGTAGTTATTTTTCATTACCTGACTGTTTTAATTGGTTCAAATAGCCGGAGAAACTATATTGAATTTTTTTTCGTATGAAAATTGTATGATTAGCATTTTTCCATACAGTTGATGTAGGAAATTGTAAGATAAGCATTTTCGGTGTGAGGAAATGTAAGATAAGCGTTTTTGGTTTTTGTAGGTCAACCCCGGTAGTATTTCAACTGAATCTTAGCGTCACCTTACCTCTCCAGGCTTTTTTGTTGGTTTTAATCGATTTTCCTTATAAGACAGCTCAAAAACCGCTTAAAAACCGCTCAAATCTTGCTGGAAAAACCGTTCAAAAACCACCGCAAGAAATGAGCGGTTTTTCAGCGGTTTTTTAAGCAAGATTTAAGCGGTTTGAGCGGTTTTTCCAAAATAAAACCACCCAAACCGCTCAAACCGCTCAAATCTTGCTGGAAAACCGCCCATATCTTGAGCGGTTTTTGAGCGGGATCTCGACCCGGGTCCAAATCAGTCGCTCAGTCTGCGACAGTAATTGAAATTTTGCGCTGGATATCATTGCAGATTACATGTGACAACCAGTGAACTGGAACAATGATTTGCAGGCTACCGTTTTTTTTTCAATTTTCTACTGCGTGGGTCTGTAATTATTCCCTAGTCGATTTGCTCACTGGACGTTTCGAACTCATCGACCAAAGTTTGATCTGTTTCTGCCATCCCGGCTGAAATTTGGTATGCTGCAATCATCGCGACCAATATTGTGTGTTTCTATTGTTTCGACCGAAAAAACTGCGATCGACCGTGCTGGAACGAGAAAAATATGTTTTGACCATCTCGAACGAGTTGGGCATGTTTCAGCCATATCGGCTGAAATTCAGTAATTTTTGACCGTCTCAATCAAACTCAGGTATGTTTCGACCATGGCAAATTAATCAAAACAAATTGCATTCAACTGCGCTCGACCCAAGACATATATGTTACGACCATCTTGATCATTTTTTTGAGTTCTTTGAGTTTATCGACCCAAATTTGGTGTGTTATGGTCGTCTCGGCGAAGCTCGTCAGTTTTCTCAATTTTTTCTCGATATTGAGTTTTCTTCGTTTGATTTTTCTCACACAGTTAAAACTCAATCAAATAACCTTTCAATTAAGATCTCAGCAATTCCAACAATTAGTTGTTTGTAAGCCTCTGATAAAAACTCTATTGGACATTCGACATGCATAAATGATTCGGCAGTCCCGATCATGTTCGTCGTGTTAGGTATGTTTGCACTATGGGCCCTATCTCATGAAGTTTTGTAAAAAACGATACGATATCCAGTTGAGAATTCAAATCTGCTTATCATATAAATATACGAGTAGTTCAAAAGTACAAGTTATACAAGTATGACTGGTATCATATAAAATATACAAGTAATACAAACAAAATAACACAATTTTAAAACAATATGGCTTCAAAAATTGATTTTTTTTACATAAACAATATTAGCTGTAGATAAAGCCATTGCAAACATTAATTAACCTTTTGCTCATTAAAGCTGTAACCTGTAAAAAATTTTGTTAACCTGTAAAAATTTTTGTAATAAAAAACAATAAAAATCAATGATGTACAAATAACAACGAGGTTATCTGGTTGCTGCGCAAGTAGCACAGAATGTTCCGACCACATTCATAGAAAAGTCAGTAAAGAGTTTTTTTTCTATTCTTCAAATTAGCGTTCTTTTTGGGGCACGGTGTGATTCGAAAACTTTACAAACGTCTAAGTGAATTCAAAAATTTTCTTCAAAAAGTGAATACCAAACTATTTTTTCATTTTCTGTACAATAATTTTAACTTTTTTTTTTACAAAAAAAACTTTTTTGTCAAAAAATGCCAAATAAAACAGTCAAACTAGCTTTCTTTATAATAAAATCAATTTGGTGCCTACAAATCAAAAATCAAGAGCCTAAAAGTCGAAAGAAAGGTAAATTTTCAAACAACGAACGTTACTCAAGCGCGCTACACGCTCGATATTAAACTAAATCTTAAAAACTTCAAACCAGGTTTTCTGGGACAATTTCTTGGATTTCTTCAAATGTAATTCGAAACACGACTGAAAATATTTTAAAATGATATATCACTCGATCCGTTCCATTGACTCATTTCGTTACTTATAGTATGGAAAAATGCTTATTATACAATTTCATATATGAAAAAAATGCTTATTTTGCTATTTTATTACATACACTTTTACTCTATGAAATTGTATGAAATAGTATGATAAGCATTTTTTCATATATGAAAAATGTATGATAGGCATTTTTTGTCAACCCGGGTAGTTCTGCCTGGAAAAAACTAAAACACACCCAAATACAAAATTCCTATATCCACTGTCAATGGTCGAAACAATTACTTCCTTGCTCAAAGCAGTGAGTTTCTAAATCACATGATAGGAAAACACAAGTTGTAGATTGATGTTGAAAATAACTTGATGACAGTTTGATGAGAAGTAGATTGAGTTTAGTCGCTCAGTCGGAGGTCATATTTGAAACTCCATGCTGGATATCTTTGCAAGTTACAGGTGAGAAACCAGGGGATCTGGAACATTGGTTTGTAGGATTCTGGATTTTCTGCAAGCACTTTTTCGATTTTTTTCTGCCTGGGTCCGAATTTTCTATGGGTTCGAGAATCAATCGCTTTCATAAGCCTCAAGTTCAATTCCTCGACTGGCAATTCGGGAGAGTAGTTCAATTTATCGAGGGTAGGATAAAAATCACCTTGCAAAGAATTTCCTGAGCTTTTAGTTATCATTTTTGTAAGTATGAATGGCAGATACATTTCATCGGAAAGATGGTCGCCCCCGAAAAGTGCCGCGTCCAAATTTTTACTCCTTCGGTAAGTCGGATAAGTCTTCAACTTTTGTATAGAATGAAATTGGCTCGGCTTTGTTGCCGCATCATAGGTCCAAAATGTAGCCCCTGAGAAGCCGTAGTTCAGGGACAGATAACCCGCGTTATACGCTTTTTCCAGGTTGCCGAACGAAAAGAGCATACCGATATCGAAAACTTCCTTTTTCAACTCACAATAGCGCATTCTATGGACAAGATGCCGCGAAGTTATTTCGTCCCCGTCTCCGAAGCCGATTAGAGCGTCCGAGGATAGTTCGTAGTGATCAAGCCACTGTTTAATCTTCTCCCACCGGATGACTTCTTCACGTCTTTCTGGTATCCAGATTCCGAAGTCAGGCGACGGCAGAGTCACAGAGGAATCGTCCAAAATAAACCTTTCGGCCGTTTTAGATTACAAATACAATGTTAGTAAATTTAAAACCTACTCCAGGAATCTTGGTCTTCTCAAAAAAAGTTTTAACAAATTTCGATTGAATGACACTGAATTCATTCTTAAATAGCACATTTTTGATATCTTTCATTTTTTAAGTTTAAGAACCGTTGAGGTGGAAAAAAACTTTCGAGACAGATGTGAGTAGTATGCATATAGTGCGTTAGGATCGGGGGGGTTGTCATACATGGATGACCATTAGGTATAAATCATAATGGTCACCATGTATTAAATGATCAGCAATGGTCACCATGTAATAATCCTAATTGTCACCATGTATAATTTTATACCTAATGGTCACTATGTAATAATCCTAATTGTCACCATAAATAATTTTATACCTAATAGTCCTCATGTAAAACTTCGGTATATTATTGAGTATTCCCACTGAACGTTGTGGAAACGGGAATGGAATTAGGTTTTGGTCGGTGCATGTTTTCCCTTCTAAAGTTTGGGGGTATTGGTTTGTTTACATGTAAAATGACGTTATATACCTATTATATGCGACCAAACTATATGGTATATAGAAAAGCACAAGATTTTGGCAGCGTAGCTTAACTGTTGGCTGCGGTGAACGATTTCCTTCAAAAATGCATGTTTTATTACTGAATCTCGAAGAAAGCAAAATTCGTCAAGTGCGGCGGCCGCCACCTCTATTTAGGCAAAAATTAATAATCAATTTGACCAAAATAAGAATGAAAAATTTCGTTCAGCCAATTGAAGGTAAAAACAAAGAAAAATTATGGAACACTGAAAACTCTAAAATGATGAAATTGGCTTGAAAATTTTGACATTTCCATTTTCGTGTCTACAAGAGACTGAAAAATAAACGTCTGAAATCTATGACAAAAACTTTGATTTGATAGAAAGGTTGAAAGAGCTAAAAGGTTGAAGTGGCTAAAGATCTTGAAAAACGAGAACACTGATGAAAGCCAAAAGTGCCCATTAATTTTGCTGCAACCATTTCTAAGACGTGTACCTAACTTGTTACTATAAAATTGAAGTGGAACAAAATTTCTTGGGGTCCGAGTAGAGGAAAACGCATGGCGCTCGACTCTCAGCCGAAAGGCGGCGTTTCGAAACCCGTCCGGAAATTGTACTGAAAGGAGGCAACAGTAGCTGGTATGGTGATATCCCCCCATAGATCGATTTTGTACTTTTTTTCTCACTTTGATAAAAAGCTTAACTTCTCGAATTACTGCTATTCAGTTAACAATTGGGTAAAATTTCAATTACTAAAAGAATGTATTGTTCAAAATTGAATTGTAAAATGTATAAATCAACCATATTAAATGGTTAGTTAATGGGTACGCATGTGAGTTAGGAAACGTTTCAAAACATGATCAGTTATATAAACAAAATCAGAAGCATCACCATTAAAGTTTTTATCAAAAATCAAATGTGCAATATAAATACAAAAAGAACCGCACATGGTAGAGTTTGAGTCTTGCATGGGAAAGTTTGTCATCAATTCAGTCACTTGATGAAAATTCTCGTTCAATCGTTTATACAGATTGGTGTACTGCCAGAGAGGAAGACCGAGAGGATCAGCGAAGTATTAAACATTTCTTCTGTTGCATATCACAATCCAATGTGTCCCCGGAGAATCTGATTTTGAAGTGTTCACAATCATAAAGATGTTGTTTGGGATGTGAGGTGGAAAATTGTCGGCTGCAAATACTCCAAAAAGCTTATATTTCAGATGTTTACAATTCTGAATGAGGTCCTGCAACTGGATTTCATCCATTTTCAGACTGTCGAAATGGGAAGGACGTTCTTTGTAACTTTGCGGTCGGAGGTAATAAATACATTGGATGAGCGTATACCCCAAACAAAAATTTCCAGGTTTGCTGTCAAAGCGTTTGAGAATTGAAGATCGAGTGAAACTGAGCAGTTAGTAAGTTCTGGATGCAAGAAGTCATGAGCTGCCTGCTGTGTGCTAGTGAGATCAAAACACATAATAAAGTGCTGTTGGTAGTTATCCAGAGTGATTCCCAGCCCGCAGTGCAACAAACCCAGCGCTGATAGTGTGTTGAAGAAGAGACGCTTATGATCTTGTGTACTGATTGGTGTACTTGCTATTGGTAAACCATTTCGTCTCAAAGTAACTTGCTCCAGTCCAAATTTTTGATAATGAAAAGGATTCGTTCGGTTTGTTCCTAGAAATGCATTATTTGTGTTCAATGCTATGATAATTTGTCTCACCGGTTCACGAGCAAAAATATCTTCCTGTTGCCAGCTGCGCTGACCAGCTGTTGCAAGAAATGTTTTTGTAATTTCTTCTTGATATGGGTAGTTCGCAGGAGTTTTGAGCAAAGTTGATTCAATGGCAGAGAGCACATGGTCGGTCACAGTCATTTTTCTAACATATAGGTTCGCTTCGAGTATTTGCAGCTTGTAATGCTTGGCAGCATCTTCCGATATAATGAGAAAATCTTCATGAGAACGTCTGTAGGAAAGTCTGAGGGTAACACCGCTCAACAAATGCTTGTCACATGTGAAAAAATCAACTCCAGCGGGTCCATAGAACCAAATTTCCCTCGATTCACGGACCAGTTCTCGTTGAGATGTGAAATCAGCTGCATCTATTGCAGCGGGATTGTTTTCAAAACGATATCCCTGACACTTAAGCCATGAGTCCTTGGCTCCTTTGCTGTTAGAAACTTCTGTTCCAATAAAGCTTTTATGCGCAAAATTACTATTGGCATTTGAGATTTTGAGTCCATTAGCAGAGAGGGTACAGTCAGAGAAAAGGGAATACAGGGAGTTGTTTACGAGGAACGGTGAATCAGACACAGTAGGATCAGTGTTGTCGTATCGCAGATCAGCTCCACTTGATTGCGTTACTTTGCATCGTATTTCCAAATAAATTTTTTGCAGGTCAACAAAATTATTACGGTCACCGGTGATTTCAAATTCAAGCATTGGTCCATTAGGTGAATAAACAGGTCCAATTTTTTGATCAAAAGCGTTTTCAAAAGTAATCAAAAGAGGTTGTTTTTCAAACAAATCTAGAGAGCTATGGGTAGCTTCATTGGGTAACAAATTAGCGATCATTTTTTATGTTTGAGAAAAAATCTGCTCGACTTCTCACTGGTCTGGTTTTTCTTCGAATGGTTGTTTTTCTTTTTCGAGCCCCTACTGACCTTCTTCTTCGTAATCCATTCATTGGTGTCTTTCGACGACGTCGTCTACCACCACCGAGTTGTTTTCTTGCAGTTTTTGTGACAGTGTTTTTCAATGCTTGTTTAGGAGACTTCTTTTTCATAGCGACATCAATTAGTTCTGGCGCTGCACTCATCAAAAGTTCTCTGCCCAGTTTTTTCGCTGCCGGTAGAATAACCCGTCGTGCAAACGGTATAGCAACACGACCAATACCAGCAGCCAAAGCGCCAAATCCACTGCCGCGTTGTCGGTAGTGTCCAGAGAAATGAGGAAGTGAAGCTTGCTTTGCATAATATTGTTCCATTGGTTTTCAATCAAAACGCTTGAATTTTAGGGTCAACACAACTTTACCAGTTCCTGCAAAGGGCACTAGTCTTCCAGTTTCTGTGCGCAACTGTACCGATATTGATTGTACAGATGAAGTGAATAATTTTTTGTAGTCTAAATTAGTGAAGTTTTTTCGATGATTAGGTTCAATGCTGCAGGCACTACCGTTTTTGATGCGTCTATTTGAATCAATGACGCGTAACAATGGGGCCTTTGCATCACCAACAGTTTGGTATTGAATAATGTCAATATAGACAAAAATTAGACTTGTCCCACTTGATAAGTCATATGGGAAATGAGATTCGTACAGTTCGTTTCCCTCATAAGATGCATCGAAGGAGGGTATCATTTTGTAACCAATGTGATATTCACCGTTCTCATCAAGCTTTGCATTGTAGCCTAACAGACTGGGTATTTGGGGACTTGGGAATGAGATTCCTTCATTTGCGTTCATCCAAATGCTCATGCTATTCGTGATTTCTTGAGGACTCGCATCAAAATGAATTTTGTCTTTGAGTTTTGTTTTTATCTCATTAATCAATTGTTCTATAAAAGTGTACTCTCCTGATTTGATAAAAACTTTTTCGCCATAGTAGGGTCTGGAAATTGTATTCCGATTGCCAGCGTTGGATTTACTGGCTACTACTTCGGATGCTCTGAAGTACGTAAATTCCTCATCAGTAACATTGTTTAATTTTGTGGGGAAAATTATTTCTGAGAGAGCAACTCTCCAATCTCCGTCTAAAGCTATTTCTTCTTTACAAAAATTTCTAAAACTGGCCAAAGTGTTGCCTGGGAAATAATCCATTGATGCTGTTGAAATCAAATGTACAGTAAACTCATCACTGCCCATTTTCGTTATAATCAGCTTTGTTTCCAATTAAACTAAGTTCTTTTTCATAAAATTTTCCGCTGATTTCTTCCTTTTCCGCATCAATGAGACTGTATGTTGGAGGGTTTACAGTAGGAATGGCAACTATTTCAAAAACTTCGTCTGTAAAAATCTGCTTGTAACCTTTTCTAAAAGGCAAGTCAGTCTTCGCTATTCGAACATAGTCACCAACATAAAATTTTGGTTTCTGTACCAACTTCGATGAACTGTTTGCAATTAATGAAACTAAAGCAGGTACATGTTTTCTTGTGACCTTGTTTGGAGCCAATTTTGTTACTCTATTAACGCGTGAGTTAATCGTTTGAACAAAACTTTGTAATTTTTCAATATAACTGTAAGTCCATTCAAACTCCAAGTATTTGTACATAATACTTTTCAGCGATCGAATGTTTCTTTCGGCAAACGCTGATTTTTTTTCACTGTGAGTATTGTATTTGATGATTTCTCGTTTAGTACATAACTTTTCGAACTCTCCTTTAAACTCGGTGCCTTTGTCAACCCAAACTTTTTTTGGTTGTTTTGTTTTG